TTCGGGGATACCTTTTCTTGATTTTGATTAATTTTTTAACGCTAGTTTTCTAATTACTGTCTCAATAAAGACCAATTAAATCAATAAGAGACTAACTGTGTCTGACACTGACTGGCCAACTTATCAGAAACCGGTTTTTGAAGTATTAAGAGTAATGTTTGCGACGCGGTATCTTGTGATCAAGGTGAGCTTCCTAACCATCGGAATAATTAATTATAATTTCAAAAATTTTTTGATACATTAGTTTTACATTTTTCTTATTTCGAGAATTTCAAAATTTCTTTCCCCCTTTTTTCTTTTTTACTGCATTCTTATCTGGATTTAATTCTGGCATTTATACTCTCGAGGTGAGGAAGATCACCATGACTAGTTAATAATTGTTATATTCTATGTATGTGAATTTATTAGTTATCTCTGAAGAAGGCTCAAAAATGAGCCGAAACATGTAAGCACTTTAGTAAAATAAAGAAGTTTCACGCTACGATAGTCGTGTTATTTGCGCAACATCTCCCGCGCTTGTCTCCTACTGCCCTTGTTCTTTCATTGTTTTTTGATTTATAAAACCGTAATTTTTAAAAAAGTTTTGTCTTAAATTTTGTTTATCACAATCATGTTTAAAATGTCTCATTATTATGCACTATATTAATACAATACATTTTTTATTACCTTTTTGCCAGTAATTGTTTATCTGTTTAACTTTGCGATTCACATAATATTTATACAATAGAACACAGATGAATGAATTTTCTTGCATTTTATTCTGTTCACCATAGCATAAAGATTCTTATTTGAGCAGTCTCATTTCTATTGATTTAAATGCAAAACAGCAAATTGCACAAATTCATTATCTTGTTTACAGAGCATACTGTCTTGGGGCTTTGTACAAATTATCTTGTCTTTAATAATCTTGTTTTGCGAACAGCGCCGCGATGGCGCGAGTGGGGTAATGATGGTAGTTTGTTAGCCTCTATAAAAGCGCATTCGCAATCGAGATTAATAGCGTCCAAAGAAATCGAGATGGCTCGTATTACGGGTACGAATTTACGGTGACATACAATTATTCCGCTTTTGCGAATTGAACAGTAGTGAAATCGCTCTTTTTTCCGCCCGATAGTCCACGCTCATTAATTGCGAGGGTGCTTATTCTCGGTATCATCTGCTGAATCCGATAGTCGTTGGCCTGAATTTACGAGCAAGCTGTCATGCAACTTTAGTGCTCAATAAATAGCGCGGATCATTTTTCGCGAATACGTGCAAGCGATGTATGCACGGTAGCACCAGATTACTTCTCTGCGGATTAATCGATGCGCGTCGATTCGAAGAGATAACCGTTTCGCAATCATTCAGTCCCGATTTTCTGTATTGTACAATTTGTATATTAAATCGATTTACGAAACACTCGCCGAAATGAGTGAAATCTTTATAAAGACATTTCAGCTCCTCGTTATTACATACTAGCTCTCAAATTTGTGACAATATACCTAATAGTATATAGAATAACTTATACCTCTTTTTATTTCAGTTATTAAAGAGAATTAAAAGCAGGATTAAAACTTTTGATATTTAAAATTTTTTATATCCTTGATACTATAATACGTTCTGCGTTTTGCTGAAATATATAAATATAAATAAAAGTTTAGCTTGATATAGAGATCTGAAAATAATTTTGTTGCACCATCAAAATAATTATGTAGAACGCTTAAATGGTGATAACGATACTGTAAAAAGTTTTAATATTCTAGAAATCAGTTTGAGAATAATCCGTAATTATTTTGATGATTCAAATAAAATTATTTTCAAATTTGTATCTACATAAAGAGCTAAATTTCATCAAAACCGTTTTTTCCGTGTAATTACATTTTTATTTTGTTGTTATGCAATTACATTTTAATTTTTGTTACTTTTCTCTTATAATTTATTCGTAATTTTATATGATAAAGGACTCTTTTTTTGTTTATATTATTTTAAAGAATACGTTCTATTTTCTCGCCAGTAGCGATTTACGCGGTTCAAACTTTAGCGAATCGTGCAAACGGTACGCAGAAAACACAGCTGGCAAGCATAATTTACGTAGTTTATAATTGACGCGAGAAAAGCTCGCTGTGCAGAACATCACACACAGATGATACGTGATGAAAGGCAATAGACACAGACCTCGTTTTACAGCCTGCCAGTACAATTATGATGTTAACGCACCTTCAAACTCCATTGTCATATCTATAAGAGGGATATGTCGGTCTGTCTGATGTTAATAATCGTTGACTCTCGCCATTAAACTTTCTGCTTTGAATCTGATGATGTAAAATACCGGTGACGTTACTAGCATCAGCATTATTGTGTGTCGATTGCACCATCCTCTGAGAATTACATGGCGACATATACATGCTGTAAAAGGCTACGGCTACAAATGTCCGACTCGTGCGTGCGTTTGCTCATGATTAATAAAAGAGAGTGCGTCTCCCGATCCATCATTCCTTCGAATATGTAGTTCATCAGGGACAGTCTTGCGTAGCCATCGTGGCGTTGTTTCATCGATGAACATTCTCGCGCAATTGGTACTTGTATGATCGACGAGGCGTACAATTTTTTATGATGAAAAGTAAAATAACTTTTTTGAAACGAAAATTTAATATAAATGAATTTTTATACTCATAGCTGAATTAGAATGAAAGTTTCTTTTTTCTAATTAAGCCCCAAGTATAACTCTTTACTGTCGCTTACATACTGCAGTTCTGTTCATTGCTCGACATTCTGTCTAACAACAATTAACTTTAAAATCTTATTAATTATAAAGAACAATATTAGTTTTTCGTTTATTATAAAATATTCTGTATTACATTTTCTATATGAAATATCTTTTGTGAAGCATAAATTTTATATCACGAACCGTTCCTGTAATTTCGAAATTATTGAGCCATCCCAACTTTCTAGTTTTCGATTTTATTGCAATCTAGATAAATGCTAATGTTTTATAAAAACTAAAGTATATTCTTACAAAAAAATCATGTTTTAAAATCAAAATACTTTTAGAAAATAAAAATATTTTATTATTGAAATAAGATCAAATAAGTCTATATTATATGGAAAGAAATGTTTTTGCTGACGTATCTAAAAATTTAGACATAAAATAGACATATAAATCTACAAATACTTTGAACCAACAAAATAATATGTAAGAAATTCAAGCATAAAGAGTATGGCTGCAATTTGATTTTCTAGCAACCAATTTGAGTGTCTTACATAATTATTTTTATAGTCCAATAAAATTATTTTTAGCTAAATATTTAGACACTTCAGCAAAACTGTTCTTTCTGTATAAAATATGTATAAAATCTGGTAAAACTCAGAGTTTTGAAGTTAAGATAATATGTATAATCTAACAGACATGCATTACAATTTGATATCATAATGATGAGACCATACTTAATTAACATTACAGAAAGCGCGTACGAAGATGAGGATCAGCTCGCCAGGGGCGGCACAACCCCTGGTGAAGACATCGATGAAGAGGACGACGATCAAGGCGGAGGTGGCACAAATAATTTTCCCTTGAAAATGGCGTCCGACACAACCAGGGGTCGAATCACAGCCGTCGCAGGCGGCTTCTTACGAGGCTCCGCCGGACAGCAAGTGAACTTCGACCCCGAGGCGCCTCCACTGCCGCCAACACATGTCGTACAGACGACCTGTCTGCTCGAACGACCGGAAATTGACAAGAAAGTCAAGGTAACGAACAAAATTAATGTGTGTCGTTTCGAGAGGTTACCGGATCAAGCAAGAATAAATTAATCTTTTTTCCGTTTGTTTACGAAATAACGCAGAGTTTCAGAAAATAGTTAGAATCATACAGAAAATTGGAAAAGTTATTTTATATAAAAAGTAACTAGTTACAGTTACAGTATTTTTTTTCAGAAGGTAACTTATAACTACAAGTAGCTGATTCTAAAAAATAACGCGTTGCAGTTACAATTACTTCACAAAAGTAACGAGTCGTTACTCTTTACTTACTTTTCTATTATTTTTTTATAATTTTTTGCATTGCTAAATACAAGAGTTTTTACACATTTCTAACATTATTTTATTTATTATACTAAACATTCAATTATATACACTATTTATTACTTATAATAAATTAATGTCTACACTTGGATTCAAAATTATAAAATCAATATTGAGACGCGTATATACTGAAAGAATTCTAACTTAATTCTCAATACAGACATTTGTTCTGATACTAAATATTCAATGAATATTTTATTTTGATCAGTCTGTATGTTGATGAATAAATTTAATATTATAAGTAACTATAAAAGTAATTATTAAATTAGTTATCCGTTACCAAAAAGTGTAACAGAGTTAAATTACAGTTATAGATGAAAAAAGAATGAAGTTAAGTTACTGAAAAAAAAATTAACTATTACAAGTTACTTTCTAATCTTGGATCGTATTACTTCCAATTAAACTCAGCATCTAATTAAGTAAAATTAACTTTTAGTGTATATCATCAGTATTCTCCTATTTCTTCGAACAAACGGATTTTTTTACAGCGTTAAGAACACTGCGATCTCCTTCATTTGAATTTCTTTGTTTTATATATTATATTCTTTATTGGCTTCGCTCTTCTCGGTACAATAAAATACTAGAGCGGGATAACAGTTGTACGTATACCATTATCGATTTAAAGATTCCGACAGTAATGATGTAGCGAGAAGAAAAAGATCATAGGTTTCCGAGGGTTAGAAATAAGTCGAGCGCACCGTCGTGGTTTCTATCCGCATAAATTCCCTTCTCGCCACAAACTACAACTCGAGTTTGACGAGTTGAGCAAAAGAAACGGAACCAGAAACAGAAAGGATGGCAGCTGATAACGACGTTCCGATCCAATTTGTGCGCCGCTTGAGAATTACGGGAGAATGAGAAAAAAAATAAAAAAAAGACTGAGGGGGGAAGAGAAGAGGAAAGAGTTCTTCTTCTACCATTCTTTTATTGGGTCTCCTCAGATGTTGGCCGTGTGATAGTGATTTGCCTCTTCTCGATTTGCCATTACCCGTCTGTCGACAGGAAGAAATGAAGCGTCGCAGCCGGTACTCCGGTCGGGTCAAGTTAAATTAAACCTTAATGCTGTTTCGATAACCACGTTTAACGCAGACGGCAGATGATAGACCGGGCGTGATTATTTTTGTACATAGGATCCTGAGGACCGGCAACGGTGTTTAATATCAGCCATATATATATATAGGTGAAGTATGTGACTGATCGATGGCGCAGACATTTAGCCTTCGAATAAGGTGAAATTCGGCCAAACGCCTCTTGGCCGAATTTCTCGCTCGCTTGGTTAGCAGCTGCATTATTTAGCCACCAGGTGAATCTGCAAATAGCTTCGGTCTCGACATCGCTTTCTGCGATGCGGTTATGGATAATTAATTATATCACCTCGCGGTACGCGCTGAAAAGAAGGAAGACTCGAAATGGCTATAAAGGGCATAAGTTAGCTCGATCGGACAGACCGAAGAATATCTCGCTTAGGAAAGGATGTTAAAGGGGATTTATTTCTAAAAAGATAAATAAAAGGAATAGTACCCAGCCGAGGTAATATTTTTCGTAATAATTAAAATTTATTTACAGATTCTAGTAGTTTAAGTTTTCTACGATAGATGTTTATTGAGCATCAAAAATTTGTGATATTATTTCAGTAGTTTAGCTGCGTTTGTAAAGTCCGGAAAAATTTTGGCGCGTAATGAATATGACTACAAATATTGTATATATGCAAGTACATATATAGTATATATATATATAATTCACATTTTGAATTATTTAAAAAGCAATTAAGATTTAACTTCGACCGGCATTAGGCCTTTAATATAATATTATTAGTGAGTTCTGTACGCGTCGGTATGAGATTTAAAAAAGGAATAGTGTTTTTTGTAGATTTTGATCTGAATATAAAATTATTAAAAACTTGGTAGCATTTGGAGATTATTTTGAAAATTGAGGCCCATGGTATATTTTTATCCAAATTTTAATATTCTTGGTTAATTTTCAAGATATTCTTTAAACGTCACGAATTTTTTAACAACTTTATAAGTATCCAGGAAGTAAAAATCTACAAAAACATTATTTCTTTTACTTACTGCCTTTAAAACAAAAATCAGCCTTTTAACATGCTCCAAAAAAGTATAAGTAAAAGAAATACTTTGTCAATTTTGGAACTCGTAAATACGAAAAAATTAAAATTATTAAAAAGTCGTCGTGACGTTTAAGGAACACTTAAAAAAATTAAACAAGAGTATTGAAATTTGGATGAATATACCATGTTCGTGCTCAATTTTCGAAGTGTTTCTCAAACGCTACTTTCTAAATTCGTTTTGGAGTAGAATTTCATATTAAAGACTGAAAATTATGTCTTGAAAAAGAGTGATTTAATTTTTAATCTTTAAGAATGAGATTTCACTTTTCAGAGTGAAATTCACTTTAAAAGTTTTAGAAAGTACGCGAATAACTTTTTAATAATTTTATCGTATCGAAGTCAAAATTTACAAAAAAACATTACTCCTTTTATTTATACATTTTAGGCAGAAATCGATTCCTTTTAAACATTCTTTTTTTTTCCCATGCGTCGAAGACATACGTAAAATACAAGGCAGATACGCGTATGTATTCTCGGGAATTCATGCTAGTTGTCAGAAACTTTTGTTTTTATCGTCTCATAAAACGGCAGGTTGCATTTTCGAAAAGGATAAGAACGAGAGGCAAACGATCTTCCTTTGACTTTGCGTTTTCAGGATTAGGTTCGCCGACCCAGGATTGCACTCTCGTAACGCTCTGCCATCGTAATACGCACTTTGCATACGCCGCGCCGTGAAACATGCGTTTAATCTATTTAGGGATGAAAAGCGAGAGAGAGAGAGAGAGAGAGAGAGAGAGAGAGAGAGAGAAAGGAACGCGAGCGAGCTGCTTTCATCTTTTAGTGCCTCGTAAATGTCCTCGAGTGAGCTCGCGCAGCGAAACCGCAGCTACTGAATCCTAGTGTATTACGTGACCGAATTTCGTGACCACCCTCGTCGAGCTTCGAATAACACGGCAGTCAATGTTTGATAGAATTAGCATTGGTTAAGAAAAGACTCCAAATCCAATGCCTCTCTCAATTCTTAATCACGGCAGCGGAACTATAATATTTTCGTTCAGACAATTTTTATTGTGTGATCTATTATGCATAATACATATATAGAGCCTTTTATTAATTGTATCGATTTTGAAAACAAAATTGTTGCTGGTTTTTTATCAAAGATTTTGTCTGTACAACAATAAATGCCATTTATATACGCATATGAATACCCAATTAAGTAACGAGAAAGCCTTATTAATTTGGTTGTTAGTATTGTACTTAATGTACTTAAACAATATCTCGATACACTGACAAAAATGTATGGTTGGGTTAATTGAAATCCTGATTGAAAATATGGACGAATTAGAATCTTTTCGTTTATCCATTTTCACCCAGACATTTTTTTCAGTGTGAAAATTTATATGCATATTAAATTTATATTCAGTTCTGTAAACTGCGCGTCAAAATAATTTTCAGTTGAAACGCAATCTTAAACTGAAATTGGAATAGTAATATCACATATTAAATTGACAAGGTTTAATTACAGTCTGTTCAATAAGAGCGTACGGTTCCGCACTTCATTAATAGATGACGCACAGATGTTAAGTTTGGTTTTTCCGATTCTCTGAACAGTTTGGAAGAATGCTTTGAGGTCATATGGATAGTGTGACTTGTTTTGACTGTAACAGAGCAAATAACCACAATGAGTGCTGCGTATGCAAGTCGTTTTGAAGCAGTGTTCCTTTGCACACATCCGAAAGGACCGAAAATGTCGTATGCAGCTGCCGGGCGCTACATGAAAAAGTCAGAAGGATTCGTCAGGAAGTGGGTGAAACGTTACAACGAAACAAAAAATGTCGATGACCTGCCGTGGCACCCGACGGTCAACGACGAAAAAGGACGACAAAGCTATCATCAAGATATTTGAGAAAAATCCTGGGTGTTCATTACGACGAGCGAAAAATCTTTTATTGAAAAAGGGTATAGATGTGAGCCTTAATACTATTAGACAACGATTGCTTGATTCCGAATACGGTTGGCGATCTACAAAGTTAAAACCGTTTTTAAGCGAAAAACACGTCGAAAAACGGCTGGAGTGGGCAAAGGCTAATATTGACCGTGATTTTGCCAATGTAATCTTTACCGATGAATCATCCTTTTGGGCCTGGATTCCCAGAAGGTATGCGTGGTCAACTCGTCACGATCCCGTTGTTCAACGTACAATAAAACACCCAGTGGAAGTACACGTATGGAGATGTTTCTGTAAACAGGGATTTGGTACTTTACATCTTTTCACAGACAATCTGAATGCACAGAAAATGAATATGATTTATCATAAGTGTTTATTGAAGTCTGCTCAAAGATGGTTTAGCTCAGATAATAGTTCATGGGTGCTTCAAGAGGACAATGACCCAAAACACCAAAGTCGTGCGTGTACGGAGTGGAAACGTGAAAATGGCATCACTACAATGGATTGGTCTTCCCAGTCGCCTGATGCCAATCCCATCGAAAACGTGTGGACAATTATGAAGGTGAAACTCAGAGAAAAGAAGGTTTTTAATTTAAAGCAGCTCGTTCGTCATATATGGAAGAGTTCGCCATATCTGGAGAAATCTTCCTG